GCCCTTCCTTCCGACTGGCCCCAGGGTGCGACAGGGAGGCGTTAGTTGTAAGGAAAAGGACAAATCATGGAGGATGAGGATGAGGATGAGGATCAGGATGATGATAATGATGATGATGCTGATGATGATGATGATGATGGTGATGGTGGTGGTGGTGGTGATGATGATGATGATGATGAGGAGGAGGAGGAGGAGGACGGCCACTCTGGCCCCTGTGCCTGCGTGATCCCCACTACCCGCGGGAAGGGGGGCCAGCCCGACCGCGCTGTTCGCCACGCGGCGGAGGGGGCGCCGTGCGATACTTTCGCGAACAAATCTTTTGTGTTCCGCGTGAATACCTCACGGGAGCATCATCGAGTTCACATCGCGATCCACGTGAACATTCTCAATGCCGACGAGTTACATTTAGAATTTCACAAGCCACAGGCTTACGAGACCTACCGCACAACGTGGAGATCTGGCGGCAAATCTGCCGAGACCAAGTACGACCAGAACATCGGCGAGAGCAGACTCGGCTTGGAAGCGAGCGGGATGCCTGATCAGACGCGGGCTACAAACACACACACACACACATTCACACACACACGCACACACACACACACACACACACCCCAGCGACATCATGACCATCGCCGCGGCCGCGTTAATGATGGCGTCCTCTGCAGGCCGAGCCAAGGTACCCGACCTGCCACAGAAGGAAGCGGAGAAGGAGGAGGTGATGTCGGCGTCACCCCAACATACTTATACTATATGGTCGTCGCCCCCCCAGGGGCGACGCGCGCACCGAGAAATCTTATACTATATGCGTCGCGGCGGGCGCTTTCTGGCCACCTCCGCTCGGGAAACGATATACTATGAGATGGGTGTACTATATATGTTCGGGTCGGACGCGCGCCTCCAAGGAGGACATATAGTATTAGCGTGTCTCTGTGCGTCCCATGATGGAGAAGAAGGAGGACCACGGCTTCGTCGGGACCCTTCATGCCGTCCCTGAGCCCCGCGCCTGCGGGAGCGACTCTTCCTCCTCCCGCGGCCACGGCTGCCTGTGTGAGGTGCCGCGGCGGGTCTGGCTGCGTCCAGCTCCCCGGCGCGCCGCTGACCCTGCCCCGGCCAGGTTTCGGCGAGAGGGGCCTCGCCCATGACTGCGGAGGACGAGCCATGGAGAGGAAGCATGTTGCCAAATAATTGTCAGATGTCAAAAAATGTCTTAAACATGTTGTAAACATGTCTTTACACATGTTTACAACATGTTGAGATTACGTTTTGGAAACAGATTTTAGAGTCAAGGATCGGACTGTGAGGGTGTCCACTGTCGTGGCATCCACAGATCTATGACGGAGGCCACCAGGAGGGGGAGCACGAGGAGCAGGCCGAAGAGTGCGGCGCCGACCAGACCGCGAGGGCCTAGATCAGCGACGGGGGCAGCCTGAGAGCAGATCCCTGCGACCTGGCAGCCGGCGACTCCGACTTGGACGGCGGGGGCGAACGGGAGGAGGCTTGGGCGCGCTTCGAAGATGGTCAGGCGATCGCAAACATGGATCAAGGGGGTGTGGATTAGCGACGGGTCCCGTTTCCATGGGAAATCGCGGATTTCCGCCGCCGAACGAGGCGGCACCGGCCGCATTTTGGGAAGGGCACCTCCCCCGATCCATGGATTCGGCGACCGCGCGCCAAATCCATGGATCGCTAATCCATGTGTTGCGCGCCCCCGAGATGGGCAGCGCGCAGAAGTGTGAGGACGACCATGGGACCTGCGAGGGCGGCGAGCAGAGAGCTACGAGGGCGACCCGCAGAGCTGCGGGGGGGCCACTGGCAGGGCTGCGATTGCCATCGGTGAAGCCTTCGGGGGCCACAGGCAGAGCCGCGAGGGCCGCTCGCAGATCCCCGAGTGCCACCAAAAGAGCTACGTGGACCACCCGCAGAGCCACCAGAGCTGTCCGGACCGCCCGCAGAGCTGCAAAAACCAGAAGCAGAATCGCAAGGGCAACGTGCGCAACTACGAGGACCACCAGTGGACTCATGGGGACCACCGGCAGATCTTTGAGGGCCACCATCCGAGCTACCAGGGACAGAAATCACGCGGGCCACAAGCAGGGCTGCGAAAGCCACCAGCAGAGCTACGAGAGACACCAGCGGAGCTTCGACGACCACCAGCAGAGCCACGGAAGCCACAATCAGAACTTCGAAATCAACGCGGAGAGCTACGAGGGCCTCTCTGCGGAGCTACTTGAACCACCCACAGAGTTACGAGAGCCACGAACAGAACTGCAAGGGCAACGCGCAGAACGATGAGGAACACCAGCGGTCCTACGAGGACCACCAGCTCTTTGAGCGCCCCCATTTGAGGTGCCAGGGCCACCATCAGAGCTACCTGGGCCACGAGCAGGATTGCGAGGGCCACCAGCAGAGCTATGAGATCCACTAGAACAGCTCCGACGACCACCAGCTGAGCCACGAGCAACACTAACAGAACCTCGAAGACAACACACGGAGCTACGAGGGCCAACTGCGAAGCTACTTGAACCACCCGCAGAGCTACGAGAGCCACGAACAGAACTGGAAGGGCAACGCGCGTTTCTACGACATGCAGCAAAGGAGTGACAACCACCAGCAGAGGGACGAGGGCCATCAGCGGAGCTTCGACTGCTACAACCAGAGTCTTGAAGGCAACGCGCAAAGCTACGAATGCCACAAGCGGAGCTATGAGGACCACCAGTAGCAGCACGAGGGCCACCAGCAGGGCTACGCGGGCCACAAGCTGAGCTACAAGGGCCACCAGCTGAGCTCCGCGAGCCACCAGAGGAGCTACGAGGACCACCAGCTGTGCCACGAGGGCAAGCAGCGGGGATTCGAAAGTCACCGAAACAAGCCGGGCTGCCAGACCAAACCGGGCTTCCACACCACGTTGGAGAACCTGAAGAAGCAGGACGACTACGACAAGGGGGGCCCGTCCGAGTCATCGGGCTAAAGCCAGCGGCGCCACAACAGCTTCGATGGTTCATTCGGCGCGTTGGACACCACTGCGGCGCGCTGGGCGATCCGATCGGGGTCTCTTGCCATCAGCGTCAACAGTGCCAACGTCCAACTCATCGGCAAGTACCCCAAGAAACAGTTAGCCATCCTGTACCACGAGACGACCCAAACATACCAGTATCACGGTCTGAGGCAAAATGACTACGTGTGCGAGCACTTCTGCGACCTCGCAGCTTACGAAGGCCAGCCAGGGGATACGAGATGGTTCCTCGACGTGTTCCATGTTGGAAACTTGCTGGCGCAGTTTGCGACCGGATGGCGCAATACTTACGCTCCCACCCTTCTCGTTTTTGGTTGGAACCCATCACGACTGGGACGTACGTCGTCCAATGCCAAACTTACGACGCCGTCAGCATGCGGACGATGTTGCGACGTGTTCCACGCTATTGGCAATATACCGCGCCCTCAGCAGACCTCATGGCGGCAACGCCCCCTGACTGGCCCAGCCTCTCAAACCATTCTACGAGCAGGAGATGCCGGACGGGCCCTTCTCTTCCTTTCCCCCTCTCAAACGCAAACTAGGTTCTCAGCTGGCACCAGAGGTCTTTCGTGGCCGCGCGGCGTGTGCCTGTGCGCGGGCGATGTAGCGCGGGTGCGGATTGGGATCGCGTTGGCGGCGGTACAGCGGCAGAGGGGAGGAGGAGGAGGAGGAGGAGGAGGAGGAGGAGGAGGAGGAGGAGGAGGAGGAAGAGGAAGAGGAAGAGGAAGAGGAAAAGGAATAATAATAATAAGAAAACGAAGAAGACGAATAATAATAAGCATACTAATAATAATCATAATCAGAAGAAGAGGAATACGAATAATACTAATAATCATAATACTATTTTGTAATAGTACTAATAATAAGGGGACTAATTATAATACTAAGAAGAATAAGAATAATAATACGACGAGCCATACTAATATGAAGAACATTACGCATAATAACACGAATAGTAATACTAATATTAATATTATTATTTATATGAGTATTAACAATAATACTAATAATACTAGTAATAATAGTAAGAAGACGAATACTACTAAGACGAATACTAGTACTAATAAGAAGAGTAATAAGAAGAGGGCGAGAGGAGAGGATGAGGAGGAGGAGGAGGACGAGGAGGAAGATGAGGAAGAGGAGGAGGGAGGGATTGAGGAGGAGGAGGAGGAGAAGCTAGCGGAGGAGGGAGGGATGGAGGAGGAGGAGGAAGAGGAGGAGGAGGAGGATAAGGAGGGGAAGAGGATGATGATGATGCGGATGATGATGATTCTGATGATGCTGCTGCTGAGGATGATGCTGCTGATGATGATGATGATGATGATGAGGATGAGGAGGAGGAGGAGGAGGAGGAACTGGAGGAGGAGGAGGAGGAGGAGGAGGATTAGGGGGAGGGGGGGTGTAGGAGAAGGAGGGGCCGTGGCCATTCTGGCCCAAACCATCCATCAGCGGATGGACGCTCTACTGCTCAAGCTCGCTTGGCATCTTGTCTTGCGGTGGCAGCAGCGGGGCAGGTCTCTGGCGTGAAGGTGGATTGCGAGACGGGCCGTCACGATGGTGGCCGGAGGAGAAGCAGAGCTGAGACGGCGGCGGCTGCGCGGCGGGCTCGTCAGAGCGCAGATGGTGGCACCTGCCGTATCCACTCTTAAATTGGCGACGCTGGAGGAGCAGTCTCAGGCACTCCGGGTGGAGGTCAAAGGCGAGCTGCAAGCGAGTCTGACGCTGATCGCGCAGGTTTTGCAAGCCCAGATGGAGGACATTGAGGTGTCCATCGTGGTGCGCATGCGGCGCAATACTGCTGCCCATGAACTCGACGTGCCAGTGGCGACGATTCGATGCTACGCACCGCGAGCCCAATGCAATGCAGCGGGGCCGCTCCAGGGCACCTTGCAGTTCTGGCGCAGAGGATCTCGCGCCAGACGCGTGGCAACCGCAGGACCCCGAGGTTGCCTGCGTGTAGTCCGAGGCTGGGTAGGTCGTCGAGGTCGCGGAGCTTGGCGCGGGGTGCGCATGTGGTGCGGTCGCCTCCTCGCCGTCCGCGGGACTGCTCGCCGTGGTGCCGCGCGGTATAGGGACGCCTCGGGCTGCAGCGTGGCGGAGCAGGCTCAGGGCCGATGCGACGTCTTTCGTGCCGTTCAGGAAATGCACGAACACGTCGCGCTCCTCGGCATGAAATGGGGGGCACAGGGGCCGGCCCTTCGTGCGGCGCCGACGTCTCTGCGACTGCGACGCAGTAGCGGCGGTGGACGCGAAGGCCACCAATGCCATGAGGCCCCTGAGGGGGGCGACTGCCTTGCCGACGGCCGCGGCGGCGGCCCGCTGCGCAGCCTCCGGGGGGGATGACTGCTCTGCCGAAGGGAGCGGCGGCGGCCACTGCGCGGCGGTGGCGGCGCCGCGCGGTGCCCGACGAGAAGGCGGCCAGCGTGTAGGGCTTGGGGGCGGGCGTGGCCGCGCAGACAACGCAGGAGGACCAGGATGTTCACGGGTTCTTTCGGGATCTCGGTGCCGCAGTCTGCGCGGCTGGAAGCGGCGACAGTGCGTCCTCGAGTTGATGGCCGTCTTCTGCTTCTTCTTCTGATTCGGGTCCCATTCGTCGATGGAGGATCCCCCCCTGTGGGCGAGCGCGCCTATGAGCGCTCCAAGAGAAGGAGGAAGACCGCGGCAACTCTTGACCTCCGGCGCCGCAGCTGCGGCCGAAGGCGCGGCGAATTGCAGGGGAGACGAGGAAGGTGTGACGAGGAGGGAGGATGATTCGAGGGAAGAGACACATTGACCATGACCAGCATGCCGTGGGTTCTTGTCGACGCCGACCTTGGTCATGGTCCACGCCCGTCGCCGACTCGCGAGGAGATGGACGCTGGCCAAGATTGGCGTGACGTTTCCGCGTTCAGTCTTGGTCACGGTCGTCGTCGTTTTGTTCCCTTCGAGTGACGAGGGGGGGAGGAGGAAGCAGAAACCCGCTCCCCCCCACCCCGTGATGGCTTGACCGTTTTTTTGCCAATGTGTTTGCGGAGGTCAGGCCAGACATATCGAAGCACATTCAAACATATCGGTGCACGTCCAAACGAATCGGGGCAAACCCAGAGATGCCCAATGAAACCTGCGACATATCGTAGACTCCCCCCTGCAATCGAGGGTCAGCAGAAGTCGTGGAGCCTTCGACGAACCACCCCGACACAATTCCGATGTCCCGATTTGTTCATTACGGGGTTCCTGAGAGCCCTGATCCTTTCTCCAGGGCCAGCTTCTCATCCCGAGCCGTTTTTGGAAGTTTCAGGGCCTGGCGGCGTACCCCAGAGGCCGAGAGGCCGAAAACTGCCGAAAACTTTTGGCCGTTATTTTTTATACTTAATTTCTTGGGGGGCTAACGACGAAAGCGTGCCTGGGCTTTCAAGAATGCAGCGTCGCGAACGATCCTCCGTGGCGCCCTAGACCACATCTTTCTGCGGCATTTCTCTGGCCAGATCGGTACGCGGGGGTCACCGCGCCCGAAAACGGGCGCAAACGCCCGTGGTGAGGAAGGGGCAACGCCCAGACCCCAGACACACGACGCCATGTCCTGAGCCTTTTTTTGTCAGTCCCGAGACGGGTAAGGGCCCTTGGAGGCCGAAGATAGCGAGCAAAAATCCCGTCATGTTTTTTTTCATGACCCGAGGGGGTCTCGGATCTCACGGTTTCCCCCGCCCTTCTCGTCGTCTCCCGCTCTCTAAGGCCCACCTCGATTCAATCGATCCGATTCGATCTCGAGTTCGCAGGGGTCGAGCCGGCTCGGTTCGGATTCTACACCGATCCGATGCGGCCCGACGCTTGCATTGTGCTGTTGTGCATCCTGGCGCAGCCGACTCGATTCAAGTCTGACTTTGTGCCGCTACCAGCCGATCCGGCGCACGTTCCGATGCGACCCGATTTCCCGATTAGGTGGTAAGTGATCCCGGGACCCCCGACGCCATAATTTCTCCATGACGTGCGCCCCAAGCGGTCTGGACACCTTCCCCGGGACCAGTCTTTCGTCCCGAGTTGTTTTTTTCGACGGTCTCGAGGCCCGGGTAAAGGGCCTTTGGAGGCCGAAGCTCGCGAAAAGCCTCTTGTGCAAAACCGCCTCAGGACCCGAGCCCCGCCCTCCGCCCCCCGGTTGGGGGAGGAGGAGGAGAAGAAGGAGGAGAAGGAGGATGAGGAGGAGGAGGAGGAGGAGGAGCATGATGATGATGATGATGATGATGATGATGATGATGGTGGTGGTGGTGGTGGTGGTGGTGATGATGATGATGATGATGATGATGATGATGATGAGGAGGAGGAGCATGATAATCAAGGAAGAGGAGGAGGAGGGAGAGGAGGAGGAGGAGGAGGCGGAGGAGGAGGAGGAGACGGAGGAGGCGGAGGAGGAGGACGAGGAGGCCGGGGAGAGTGAGCCGAAGCCGTTGGGGGCCCAGGCCCCGCCCTCCGCCAGGGCCTGCGCCGCACCACCACGCCGACGGGGGGCACCGTGCGCCTGGCCACGGGGCACATCCCGGCCACGAGCAGCAGCTGGGTGCCCGTGGCGGGCCCCAGCGTCGTGGCCGGCGCCCGCGGCGGGGGCCGCGGGCCGGCCGAGGACCGTTGCTCGGGGGAGAGAAGCGCTGCCCGGGCCTCCAGCGTTACGTCGGGCCTGTCCCCACCACCACCCACCTCCACCCACCTGATGCGAATCCCTCCCCCCGTGCACCTGAAATACGGGGGATAAAAGATGTGGCAAGGGATGGGGCCGAGCTAGAGCTGTTTAAAGCTGTGATTGTGCAGAAGGGGCAGGCGGCTGGGGCGGCGCAGCAATGCAAATTCAGCGTAGGGTTAAGTCGGGCTTGTCCCTCTACAGGCGGAATATCCAAAAATAGTCAAAGGATAGTCTGGAGATTATTTTTTGTTATTTTTGGTCCATCTTGGAGTATTTCTTGCCTGTTTTTGATTTTTCCTCCAAAAAACCCCCTGTAGGGGGACAGGCCCGACTTAACTCCGCGTGTCGGGGAGCGTCCTTTTGTTCCCGGCGATGGCCCCGAGATCCTGGCGACTCCACGATTTCGAGCCGGGCTTTTTTGCCCGCTTTCGGGCCCTGGGGCCCTCACAGATCGATCCAGCTGGGAAGGTGGCGGGCGCAGACAGATGGGGGCAGGAAGGTGGGATCCAGGGCTCCAACGTACTGAGGAATCCAGCGCAGAGGTTTGGCATCGTTTTCGGCCTCTAGGGGCCCTTGCTGGGCTCTGGGGCAGTCAAGGAACGGCTCAGGACGCGGAGCTGGTACTGGGGAATGGGTCGAGATTGCCAAGGGACCCGTTTTCCGATCCTGCCGTTTTTTCACAGATTTCGGCCATCGGGGGCCGTTATCTGGCCTGGGGTCAAAAATGCCTCTGGGGCGAAAGACTGGCGGGTCGTGACCTCCTGGGGTCGTGCATTGAACAAATGATCTCGTCGGATGTTTGGGTTGCTAAGGGCTTGACGACTCTGTCCAATCGACTAATGGGGATCAGGTCAGGGTGATCGCGGTGGATCTAGGTAGCTCGAAGAAAATCCAGATTCGGCGAGGTAGACCCAGAGCTGCCCAGATAAATTTGGCATAGGCAGTGGAAGCTCGAGCGCGTGTCGAGGGACGGCAGAACTCGTTATGCCCTTCACGAGAGAAAGTCCTTCATGAAGGAAAGGGTTCCTGTAGAAGAGTCGTGCATCGGAGCTTTCCCTAGTTTTCTTGCTCCCAGGACATTTCCCCGGACCCCGTGGCAGGCAACGACGACCCAGGGTGTTTCGCCGGTCCCAGGGAAAGACGTAGGGGCCAAGGACATATTACTGCCAGTAACTTTTTGTCATGCCCAACACACGGAATCCTTTGGTTTTGATTTTTTTCTGGGGTTATTGCTGGGGAGCCCTCATCGCCACGGCCGACCGCGCCTCAGATGCCTGGTCGGAACGCACACCCGGAGAAAGGTCCGGGGAGTCGCGGTGTCGGTTTTGCTTGAGTGTGATCACCTGCGAGAGCGAATCCCTTGGAAGTCGGCGCTCGTGCACCGACGCTTCTTGCTTGCCCCGGCTCACCAGAAAGGCTTGGAGGCGCCCCTCCCCTCCCCCAGCTCTTCCTCCTCCTCCCCCCTCCACTGGTTGTACCGTCGGCTGGCCCCCCAGGTCGTCAAAGTCCCCTCCTTCCCCTCCTCAAGCTCCACCCTCCTCCAGCCCCTCCTCCGAGGCGGGAATTTATACATGACTGACCACCGCCTGGAGGGTCGGTTTTCTGAGCCTCGGCAGGCGGTGGATATGGACATTTTGAGCCCCTGAGGGCCGAAATATATCCATATCCACCGTCCGCTGGGGCACCAGGACGTCGGTTCCCAGGCGGTGGATATGGATAAATCCCCGCCTCGCACCTCCGTCCTCCCCTCCCCCTCCCCCTCCCTGCACTCTGGGGCGTTCCGAGCGCATCTCCTTTTTTTTCTTTTTCCTCCGGCGCGCGCCGCGGGCGCACGCGCGCTCGCGAAGAGCGCCAGAGAGTGCTGCTCTCTCTCTTCCCCCTCCCCCGACGACGTCCGGCCAGGCTCCCGCCTCTCCCCGCCGCGCAGTCGCTGGGGTCCCTCCTGCTTCCTGCGTGCTCTGCACGCGCGACGCGTCGTGCGTGCTTCTCACGCATGACGTCTTCGGTCCTTCCAGAGGGGGCTCCCGCAGGAGCGTGGGCCGCGTGTCCCGTTCCGTGCGCTGCGCCCGCCTCTCGGACTGGCATTCTCGCCCCGGCTCGTGCCAGATCTGTGGGCCGCATTTCTCGGGCGCTGCCGTTCCCGTTCTGTCGGCTCCCTTCCCCTGCTTCTCGCGCTCCTCCTGCTCCTGCTCCTGCTGCTCCTCCTCTTGCTCCTTCCTCCTCCTTCGTCTATTCTTCCTCCCTCCTCCGCCATCCTTCTTTCACCCCCTTCTCCAGCATGCAAAAGCCCCTTTGCCGACTGTGCAGCAATCGATGGGGGACATCCTGCACGTGGCATTCGACCATCAAAATCTCTTCGGACACCCCAGTCGGCGGATCGAAAAAGCTTCAACGTAATGGGAAGGGACGGGTGGGAGGGTACGGAGTCAGATGTGGCGCGAGCGCACCGAGCTTGCCTCCCCCCTCTCTCGTGTCTCCTCCCTCCCTCCCTCCCTCCCTCCCTCCCTTCTCCGTCCTCCCGCCCCTCCGCCCCTCTCTCCCTCCCGCCCTCCCCCGAGCTGTCTGTGCTAACTACCTGTGCTAGCCGCAGCGCCACTCTTTCGCGACAGCCGCCCTCCCGCCCTCCCCCTCTCTCCCTCCCGCCCTCCCGCTCTCCCCCTCGCGCGTGCAATCCGAAATCCCCCTTTCCCTCCCTTCCGCCTTCCTTTTCCCTCTCCCCTCCTGGAGGGGCCGCCGCGCAGTGGGCGGACCAGGGTGTGGCCGTGCTGCAGAGCAGGCGCTCGCCCGCCTCGCCCAGGCGCGCCCCTCCAGGCTGCACTTCGACGCCGGGCCTCCCCGATGAGAAGCGGCAAGTGGCGAGATCCGCATTCGAAGCGGAGCTACAGACCTCGATCTCGGGCCCTCTTGGCTGCTCCCCTCCCTCCTCACCCCCCTCCCCTCCTGTGATGAGAAGCAGGTTCACACTACGATTAAGTCGGGCCTGTTCCTCTACTGGAGGAATATTCCCAAATAGTTAGAACATAGTCAGTTTTTTTTTTTTTTTTTTTTTTTTTTTTTTTTTTTTTTTTTTTTGTGTGTGTTTTTTCATATTTCTATATTTTTGTGTATAAACTATTAGTGAGTGTTCTATAACATTTTTTTTTGTTTTTTTTGTTTTTTTGTTTTTTTTTGTTTGTTTTTTTTGTTGTTGTTTTTGTTGGTTTTTTGTTATATATATATATATATATATTTAATATAAATCTATGTTATTTTTCGCCCAAAATCCCCGTGTAGGGGGATAGGCCCGACTTAACACTACGACACCCGAGTGATGTAGACGTGAATGGAGATGAGGATGTTCTGTCTCTTGTTTCGATGCCGCCGCCCCCGCAATCGCGCATGCCAACATCGTGCGCCGGTCTGTGTCTGATCCATCTTCTTGTCTGTAGCTCAGCCTGGCTTGAGCACCAGCCTGAAGCTTGTGATTGCGAATTTCTCTCCTGAACACCTTGAGCCGCCCCCCTGCCTGCCCCCCCCTCCCCAGGACGCGGCATGGCCGGCGCCCGACTGGAACCCCGCAGAGGGCGTCTGGAGCTCCGACGGCCGCTTCTTGTACACCCTTGGCGGGGCGGGGCTCCATGGGCCTGGACGACTGGGTGCGCAAAGCCCTCCTGGGCTCGTGCTGTCTGCAGTCCCTCGGCGCCGACGATCGTACCCTGCGGGGCTCGTGCCTGGACAGCCGGGAGCGCAGAACCCTCCGGGGCTCATGCTGTCGGCCGTCCGTCTGCGCAGAACCCTGCGTGGCTCGTGCCTGGACAGCCGGGAGCGCAGAACCCTAGGGGGCTCGTGCTGTCGGCCGTCCGTCGGCGCAGAACCCTCTGGGGCTCGTGCTTGGACAGCGGGGAGCGCAGAACCCTCGGGGGCGCAGAACCCTCGGGGGGTCGTGCCTGAACAGCCAGGAGCGCAGCCTGAACAGCCAGGGCTCGTGCTTTCGGCAGTCCGGCGGTGCAGAACCCTCCGGGGCTCGTGCCTGAACAGCTGGGCGCGCAGAACCTTCTGGGGCTCGTGCTGTCGGCAGTCGGCGCTGAACCCTCCGGGGCTCGTGCCTCAGCCAGGAGCGCAGAACCCTTCGGGTCTCGTGCTGTCGGCAGTCTGCCGGCGCTGAACCCTTCAGGGCTCGTGCCTGAACAGCTGGGAGCGCAGAATCCTCCGGGGCTCGGGGCTCGTGCTGTTACTGCTGTCTGCAGTCCGTCGGCGCTGAACCCTTCAAGGGCTCGTGCCTGGACAGCCAGGAGCGCAGAACCCTCCGGGGCTCGTGCTGTCGGCAGTCCGTCGGCGCAGAACCATCCGGGGCTCGTGCACGAACAGCCGGGAGCGCAGAACCCTAGGGGGCTCGTGCTGTCGGCCGTCCGTCGGCGCAGAACCCTCTGGGGCTCGTGCTTGGACAGCGGGGAGCGCAGAACCCTCGGGGGCGCAGAACCCTCGGGGGCTCGTGCGTGGACAGCCTGGAGCGCAGAACCCTCCGGGGCTCGTGCTGTCGGCGGTCCTGAACCTTCCACGGCTCGTGTCTGCAGACAGCCGGGATCGCAGAACCTTCTGGGGCTCGTGCTGTCGGCAGTCCGTCAGCGCTGAACCCTCTGGGGCTCGTGCCTGGACAGCGGGGAGCGCTGAACCCTCCAGGCTTCGTGCTGTCGGTCTGGACAGCTGTGAGCGCAGAACCCTCTTGGGCTCGTGCTCGTGCTGTCTGCAATTCGTTGGCGCTGAACCCTGGTGTTTTGTGCCTGGACAGCCGGGAGCGCTGATCCCTCCGGGGCTGGTGCTGTCGGCAATCCGTCGGCACTGAACCCTCTGGGGCTCGTGCCTGGTCAGCCGCGAGCGCAGAACCCCCCGCGCTCGTGCTTTTGACAGTCAGCATCGGCCTGGACAGCCAGGAGTGTAGCACTTTCTGGGGCTCGTGCTGTCGGCGTCCATCTGCGCCGAAGCCTCCAGGGCTGGTGCTGTCGGCTTTCGTTGGCGCTGAACCCTCCAGGGGCTTGTGCCTGAACGGGAGCGCAGAAGCCTCCGGGGCACGGGCTGTCGGCAGTAGTCCGTCGGCGCTGAACCCTTCAAGGGCTCGTGCCTGGACAGCTGGGAGCGCAGAACCCTCTGGGGCTCGTGCTGTTGGTAGTCCGTCGGCGCTGAACCCTCCGGGGCTCGTGCCTGAACAGCCGGGGGCGCAGGTCTGATCGATTTGCTGATCCCTTACTACTGGAAGAAGAAGCTCGAGGCGGCTAGCTACGAGGTCCCGCGCCCGCCCTCGACCGCAGTAATTATGCCTCTCCTCCCTCTTGTCCTCTTCCCTCCTCCTCCCTCTTCCCTCTCCCCTCCCCCTCCCCCTCCCCTTCCCTCTCCCCTCCCCCTCCCCCTCCCCCTCCTCCCTCTCCCCTTCCTCTTGTCCTCTTCCCTCCTCCCTCTTCCCTCTCCCCCCCCCCTCTCCCCTTCCCTCGTCGCCCGAGTGCCATGCGATGTCCTGCTTTCTCCCCGGGGCTTCCCAGGCGTCCCGCCCCTTTCCCTGGGCCGTTTCTCGACGGCCCCGCGGGCCCAGCGAGGGCACCCAGGGGCCGAACACCGCGAAACGCTTCCCGCCGAGATTGCCTCACGACGCGAACATGCCGAGGGCTCCCTCTGTTTGGTATCGTTTAAAACCAATCCCCATCCCCATCCCCCATCCCCATCCCCTTCGAGACCCCCACCAAATTAACACCCCAGTTGGGGATACGCCCCTCGAAACTCGAAGGGAACAACCTATATCCCCATCCAGGGGGGCAAATCGGCCAGCGGGGCCCAGGCCACGCCGCTGGGAATGGGGATCGGTCAAGCGGTACTCATCCGTCCTCCCTCCCCGCTTCCTCCTCCGTCCTTCCCTCCTCGCGCCCCGCAGCCTCCGTGCCGGCTCGCCGCGCTCCCCGCGCGGCCGCTCACGCATTCGGCCCTCGGCCGGCCGCGGCTCGACGGCAAGAGCGGCGGCGGCGGGCGGCGACGACGCGGGCGGAGTCGACGGCGGCGGCGGCGGCGGCGGCGGCTGCGAGGGGCGGCGGCGAAGGGCGCCCTCGGCATCGGCCCGGCGCCGCGCCCTGCGCCGAGGGCCGCTGTGGCGCCCCGCCTCGGCGTCGGCCCCGGCTCGATCGAGCCCGTGGGCTCGGAGCCGGGGCCGCGGCTCGGCGCCCCTCGGGGCCCCGCGGGGCCTCGCGAGAGGGCGCGGGGGAGGCGCGCAGCGCGGCGCCAGCGGAGGGCAGTGCCGGGCGGCAGCGGCAGCGGCAGCAGGTCTTCGCCGTGGGGCGGAGCGTGCGGTTTCGCTCCACTTCGGGCCCAGGGGCCCTCGCAGACCGATGCGGCTCGAAACCCGACGCAGGGCGCTGGGGTCTGGGGCTCTGGTCGTGATGTTGCGCGATGCCGTATTTTTTTTGCAGCGTCGGATCTCAGGGAGGGCGCGGATATGGATATCGCCATTGTGGGTAAACCGGGCCCTGAGGGACAGGTTTTTCGCCGTTTTCGGGCTCTCGCGGTCCCCACGGGCCCCGAGGCTGTCAGAAGACGGCTCGGCATGGAGATTCCGCGCGCCGAGTCGCGCCGCCAGGCCTGCCCAGGCTTAGGTCGGGCATGTCCCCCTGCAGGCGGAATTTCGAGGAAAGATAGAAGTAGTCAAAACAAATACCCCCCAAATGTTCAAACATACAAATTACCCTGTGGCGACTATACTCAGGACCACTCAATGCTGACTTGCATTCTGGAGGACCCGCAGTGCGCAAGAAGAGCACCCAACAGTGATTTCAGAAAGAGCGCAGCAAGAAGAGGAACGGCAACTATACAAAATGGAAACACAGGGGCGTTGAAAGAAACGCGTATGACGCACCTCCGAATTATCCACGTGGGACGTACCTCCGCTGTGCCTCCCAGGAGCCCACGAACGTGGCGACAGTTGCGCAGATCGCAAGCCGCCCAGGGGGCGGCGAGGTCCCGAGGTGATCCGCGTGGGACCCACCTCCGCTGGGCCTCCCAGGAGCCCATGAAAGCGGCAACAGTTGCGAAAATCGCAAGCCCCCCAGGGGCGGCGAGGTCCCGAGGTGATCCGCGTGGGACCCACCTCCGCTGGGCCTCCCAGGAGCCCACGAAAGTGGCGACAGTTGCGCAGATCGCAAGCCCCCCAGAGGGCGGCGAGGTCCCGAGGTGATCCGCGTGGGAGCCACCTCCGCTGGGCCTCCCAGGAGCCCACGAAAGTGGCGACAGTTGTGCAGATCGCAGGCCGCCCAGGGGGCGGCGAGGTCCCGAAGTGATCCGCGTGGGAGCCACCTCCGATGGGCCTCCCAGGAGTTCACGACAGTGGCAACAGTTGCGCAGATCGCAGCCCACAGGGCACGGCGAGGTCGAGGTGATCCGCGTGGGACCCACCTCCGCTGGGCCTCCCAGGAGCCCACGAAGTGGCGACAGTTGCGCAGATCGCAAGCCCCCCAGGGGGCGGCGAGGTCCGAGGTGATCCGCGTGGGACCCACCTCCGCTGGGCCTCCCAGGAGCCCACGAAAGTGGCGACAGTTGCGCAGATCGCAAGCCCCCCAGGGGGCGGCGAGGTCCCGAGGTGATCCGCGTGGGACCACCTCCGCTGGGCCTCCCAGGAGCCCACGAAAGTGGCGACAGTTGCGCAGATCGCAGCCCAGGGCACCGCGAGGTCTCGAGGTGATCCGCGTGGGACCCACCTCTGCTGGGCCTCCCAGGAGCCCACGAAAGTGGCGACAGTTGCGCAGATCGCAGCCCCCCGGGCACTGCGAGGTCTCGAGGTGATCCGCGTGGGACCTACCTCCGCTGGGCCTGCGACAGTTGCGCAGATCGCAGCCCCCAGGGCACCGCGAGGTCTCGAGGTGATCCGCGTGGGACCCACCTCCGCTGGGCCTCCCAGGAGCCCACGAAAGTGGCGACAGTTGCGCAGATCACAGCTCTCAGGGCACCGCGAGGTCTCGAGGTAATCCGCGTGGGACGTACCTCCGCTGGACCTCCCAGGAGCCCACGAAAGTGGCGACAGTTGCGCAGATCGCAGCCCCCAGGGCACCGCGAGGTCTCGAGGTGATCCGCGTGGGACCCACCTCCGCTGGGCCTCCCAGGGGCCCACGAAAGTGGCGACAGTTGCGCAGATCGCAGCCGCCCAGGGGGCACCGCGATGTCTCGAGGTGATCCGCGTGGGACCCACCTCTGCTGGGCCTCCCAGGAGCCCACGAAAGTGGCGACAGTTGCGCAGATCGCAGCCCCCAGGGCACCGCGAGGTCTCGAGGTGATCCGCGTGGGACCCACCTCCGCTGGGCCTCCCAGGAGCCCACGAATGGCGACAGTTGCGCAGATCGCAGCCCCCAGGGCACCGCGAGGTCTCGAGGTGATCCGCGTGGGACCCACCTCCGCTGGGCCTCCCAGGAGCCCACGAAAATGGCGACAGTTGCGCAGACCGTAGCCCCCAGGGCACCGCGAGGTCCCGAAGTGATCCGCGTGGGACCCACCTCCGCTGGGCCTCCCAGGAGCCCACGAAAGTGGCGACAGTTGCGCAGATCGCAGCCCGACGGCACGAGAGAAGAGCGGAGGGGAACACAGGAAACAGGAGAGGAGGAGGGGAGGAGGGGGGAGGAGGAGGAGGAGGAGGAGGAGGAGGACGGGGCGACCACACTGCTCTATTCAAAACGAGTACCCAACCACAGGAGGGTTGGGAAAAATCGTCCCCAGAGTATTTGTTTTAGTATTTTTGAGCACCACTCCTCCTGTAGAGGGACAGGCCAGACTTAAGCCCAGGCAGGCCCGCGCACTCCCGCAGAGAAGCCGCCGGCGGCCGTGCTGTTCGGCCTGCCCTCTCGGCCTGCGGCGCGGCACGCCGCCCGGGTGCACGCAGCAGGCCTCCTCGGTCGCCCGCTGCCGCTGCCGCCGCCGGCTGCCGGCCTCCTCCGCGGCGCATCCCACTGCACCGCACCCCGCGCCGCGCAGCGCGGGCGGCGCCTCTGCCGAGAGCGCCCGCTGCGTTCGCGGCCGCGGCCGCGCCAAGAATACTCACCACTGCGGGGTGCCCTGCCAGCATTGCACCCGAGGGCCATCCCGCACACAGGTGTTGGTCGACTCGCGCGGGAGCGACCACGAGTCGCTCCAGAGTCCCTTTTTGGAGGTGTATGGACGTATACCCAAAGACTCACCCACCACCCCCGGAGGTCCCGTCAAGACCTCGGCATCGGGGGAAACGGGTTCCGAGGGACACGGGTCCTTGACGGACCAAGATCGCACCCCCCGGGACCGACCCACTTTGGACGCCCGAAGGGCGTCCAAAGTGAAACCTCCTACCCATCTCGGGCGTCCAAAGTGAAACCTCCTATGCGTACAAGGACCACGGGACACAATCCTTCCCACCGCGGCGCAGCCCCGACAAATGCCACGATTTGGCGGACTTCACTTCCCCAGGGTCCTCGACGTGCCGCCCTCGCGCCGAGGCGCCCCTCCACTGGCAGGAGGAGGAGGAGGAGGAGGAGGAGGAGGAGGAGGAGGAGGAGGAGGAGGAGGAGGCTACGGATGAGGAGGAGCAGGAGGAGGAGGAGGAGGAGGAGGAGGAGAAGGTGGAGGAGGAGGAGGAGGAGGAGGAGGAGGAGGAGGAGAAGGAGCAGGAGGAGGAGGCTGGATGATGAAGGTGCTGGATGATGCTGCTGCTGCTGCTGCTGATGATGATGATGATGATGATGATGATGATGATGCTGATGATGATGATGATGATGATGATGAGGATGAGGAGGATGAGGATGAGGATGATGCTGATGATGCTGATGATGATGCTGATGATGATGCTGATGATGCTGATGATGATGATGCTGATGCTGATGCTGATGCTGATGATGATGCTGCTGATGGCTGCTGATGCTGATGCTGATGATGATGATGATGATGATGATGATGATGATGATGATGATGATGATGCTGATGATGCTGCTGATGATGATGATGATGATGCTGCTGCTGATGATGAGGATGATGAGATGAGGATGATGATGATGACGATGATGATGTTGCTGATTGTGATATTGATGATGATGATGCTGATGATGATGATTCTGATTATTATGATGATGCTGATGATGCTGATGATGCTGATGATGATGCTGATGATGATGATGCTGATGATGATGATGATGATGCTGATGCTGATGCTGATGATGATGAAGATGATGAATATGATGAATCTGATGATGATGATGATGATGATGATGATGATGATGATGATGATGATGATGCTGATGATGATGATGATGATGATGATGATGATGAAGATGAAGATGAAGATGCTGCTGATGCTGATGCTGATGCCTGCTGCTGATGATGATGATGATGATGATGCTGATGATGATGATGATGATGATGATGCTGATGATGAGGAGGAGGAGGAGGAGGAGGAGGAGGAGGAGGACGAGGGGGAGAGGAGGAGGAGGAGGAGGAGGAGGAGGAGGAGGAGGAGGAGGAGGAGGAGGAGGAGGAGGAGGAGTTGGAGTTGGAGGACGAGGAAGAGAAGGAAGAGGGGGGACATGAAGAGGAGTACAGTATGAGGGGGATACTCCGCTGCAGCGACAGTTTCGGTGGAATCTCGCAAGTGGAAGTAGATGTGTGCCCGCCATTTGGCAAGATGAAATACCTCTCGCGCGTGCTCAGCGCTCGCACGCACGCGATCCCAAGACGTCCCATGGCCACAAAATGCTTCCAGGAGGGTTTTGGTCCACGGACGGTAACGTCCAGACGACCCTGGGATGATGCCACCCCGACACGGTCCTGCCATGGATTCTGGGCCATCCCAGGCCGACTCGAAGATGACCAAACACATGAGCGAGGAGTGACGCCGAGATGACTCGATGGCAACAATGTGGATCTACACGCCCAGGGTGGATCCATAATGACCACGTGACGGCTGCGGGATACGAACATGACTGGGACATGATTTTAATATGACCTCAAGACGACCCGAACACGGTAGGAATGCTGCAAATTCTGAGCCCCATCTTACTTCGTGCCGATCCCAGCATGGCGGAATCCGTGACAGACCCGGGATTTTGGGCCGGGAGGTGTCCCAGTTGGGCCGGGCGGTGTCCCGGGTGTCCCGGGTGTCCGGGGCGTCCCGGCGCTAACGCATGTCGCTAATTTCATAATTCATTTTGTTCGGCGCTTGCGGCGGGCTTTCTTATCCAATCCAGCTTATCTGATCCAATCCATCTTGTCCAATCCAATCCCTCTTATCTTATCCAACCCATTTTGTCCCATCTTATCTTATCCCACCCAATCCAATCCGCCCAACCCAATCCATCAATTCATTTGTTTCTGCTCCTGCGGCGGGCCAATCCAATCCATCTTATATGATCCATGTCATCCCTTCCAATCCGACCCATCTTATCTTATCCAGAACATCTTATCCCATGCAATCCAATCCACCCAACCCAATCCATCAATTCATTTTTGTCGGTGCCTGCGGCGGCTTTCTTATCCAATCCAGCTTACCTGATCTGATCCACTCCATCTTGTTCAATCCAATCCATCTTATCTTATCCAACCCATCTTGTCCCATCGTATCTTATCCCTCCCAATCCAATCCACCCAACCCAATCCATCAATTCATTTGTTTCTGCTCCTGCGGCGGGCCAATCCAATCCATCTTATAATATCCACTCCGTCTCTTCCAATCCAACCCATCTTATCCAATCTATCCCATCCCATCCAATCTAATCCACCCAACCCAGTCCATCAATTCATTTTTGCCGGCGCCTGCGGCGGGCTTTCTAATTTTGTATTTAGGTCGATAGTGAGATCGACAGTGAGATTCACCGATAGGTCGGTCGACGGATAGGTAGATAGTGGGATCTCATCGTCATCGCGATCACCATTGTGGTGGAGGGAGACTCTGATAGAGAGGGAGAGAGAGAGGGCGAGAGAGAGAGAGAGAGGGAGAGAGAGAGAGAGACACAGAGAGTGAGAGAGAGAGAGCGAGAGAGACAGAGAGAAAGAGAGAGAGAGATGATATCAAGGTGACAGGCTGGAGGTCAGTCAGGGTGGGCATTTGATCTCAATCCCCCCTCCAACCTCCTTATCGCCCGCAGGTCGGTCGTATAGGTATGTATACCTGGAGATATCAGGGAGCCACAGGAGGCCTCCGGATGTCTCCCAAACGCCACAGAAGGGCCCAACACGCCCTCGATCCTCAAACCTTACCCAAAAAGCTTCGGAGGAGGAGGAGCAGGAAGAACCAGTCCTGAGGGCTTGACGATTCTTCTCCAATCGACTTGCGGGGATCAAGACAGATGACACGCGGTCAATACGAGGTAGACCCAGGAGTCCGAAGAAATCGAGGAAGCTCCAGCGCGAGTCGAACGGCAACAGAAATCGTTAAGACCTTAGCAGAACCACGTCGTGCAAGCGATGTCTGCGGAGACAGAACAAGGGCCCAAACTCTCTTTATCCTCTAGGTCACCCGGGGGGCGCGAAGATAACCGTGCTTCGCGTGCCCTTCTCCAGGCCGACGCCGCTAGGGCGCGAATTTAGCCGCGCGTCGCGCATCTCGGGGCGCGATGCGCCAATTTAGGCGACCTTCGGACCCTCGCCCAGTAGCCTCGGAGAGGGACACGCGTGGTGCAGAGCGATGTCGGCGCAACGTGCCGCTGCCGTGATCGCAGGTCATCTACTGCGGCAGCACCGCGTCGGCCTCCGCCGTGGCCCCCGAGGCGTACGCCGAGCGGCAGGCCGACATGATGGCGAGGATCGGGGAGCTGGGGGGCAGGTGGAGGGGCCGGGAAAGGACGAGGAGGAGGGGGAGAAGGAGGAGGAGGAGGAGTAGGAGTGAAAGGATGATGATGATGATGATGATGATGATGATGATGATGATGATGATGATGATGATGATGATGATGATGATGATGATGATGATGATGATGATGATGATGATGATGATGATGATGATGATGCTGATGATGATGATGATGATGATGATGATGATGATGGTGGTGGTGGTGGTGGTGGTGGCGGTGATGGTGATGATGATGCTGATGCTGATGCTGCTGCTGATGCTGCTGCTGATGCTGATGCTGATGATGCTGGTGATGATGATGGGTGATGATGATGATGTTGTTGTTGATGTCGTCGTTATGGTTTTGTTGTTGTTGTTGGCGAGAACGCCTATGTGTACCCCGTCCCCAAGGGGAGTGGGGGGTGGCAGCAAGCCAGCACCCACACCCACACCCACACCGACGCCCACGTCTCCCGCCCACGCCCATGCCCACGTCCACGCCCACGCCCATGCCAACGCCCACGCCCGCACCCACATCCATGCCCACGCCCGCGCCCACGCGCAAGCCCACGCCCACGGCTGCTACTTCTATTGCTACTACTACTACTACTACTACTACTACAACTAGTACTACTACTACTACTACTTCACTACTGCTACTTCTACTACTACTTCCACTACTACTACTACTTCTACTACTAGCACTACTACTACTGCTACTACTATTACTATTCTATTACTATTACTATTACTATTACTATTACTGTTACTGTTACTATTACTATTACTATTACTATTACTATTACTATTACTATTACTATTACTATTACTATTACTATTACTATTACTATTACTATTACTATTACTATTACTATTACTATTACTATTACTATTACTATTACTATTACTACTATTACTATTACTATTACTATTACTATTACTATTACTATTACTATTACTATTACTATTACTATTACTATTACTATTACTATTACTATTACTATTACTATTACTATTACTATTACTATTACTATTACTATTACTATTACTATTACTATTACTATTACTATTACTATTACTATTACTATTACTATTACTATTACTATTACTATTACTATTACTATTACTATTACTATTACTATTACTATTACTATTACTATTACCTATTACTATTACTATTACTATTACTATTACTATTACTATTACTATTACTATTACTATTACTATTACTATTACTATTACTATTACTATTACTATTACTATTACTATTACTATTACTATTACTATTACTATTACTATTACTATTACTATTACTATTACTATTACTATTACTATTACTATTACTATTACTATTACTATTACTATTACTATTACTATTACTATTACTATTACTATTACTATTACTATTACTATTACTATTACTATTACTACGCTATTACTATTACTATTACTATTACTATTACTATTACTATTACTATTACTATTACTATTACTATTACTATTACTATTACTATTACTATTACTATTACTATTACTATTACTATTACTATTACTATTACTATTACTATTACTATTACTATTACTATTACTATTACTATTACTATTACTATTACTATTACTATTACTATTACTATTACTATTACTATATTACTATTACTATTACTATTACTATTACTATTACTATTACTATTACTATTACTATTACTATTACTATTACTATTACTATTACTATTACTATTACTATTGCGATTACTATTACTATTCCTATTCCTATTAGTATTAGTATCCGTACTACTACTACTACTATCACTACTACTTCTACTACTACGACTACTATTTATGACTACTTTTACCATCACTATTTCTAGTAGTAGTAGTAGTAGTAGTAGTAATAATAGTAGTAGTAGTAGTAGTACTACTTCTATTGCTACTCATATTAACTATACGATTACTATTACTACTACTACCACTTCAGTACTGTGTCGACTAGCTACTGCCACCACTGCCACTACCCTTGCAGTCGTAGTTGCAACAACAGTACTGTTGCTACTGCTGCGGCTACTTCCACTACTACTACTACTGCTACTACTACTACTACCACTACTACTACTACTACTACTACTACTACTATGACATCTACCACTACTGCTACTACTCTTATTCTTACTACTACTACTTCTACTACTACTACCACTGCGACTGTCACGGCTACTGCTACGGCAATGTGTAATACTATTTTTATCACTGCTGCTACGATCACTACTACAACTATTACTGCTACTACGATCACTACTACAACTACTGCGGCTACCACACTACTGCGACTACCTCTACGACTACTACTCCGACTACCACTATGATGTGGCTGCTAGTAATGGTGACGATGATTGTGATGATGATGACGATGATGATCATGATTATGTTGGTGGGAGGATGCTGACGGTGACCATGATGCTGCTGATGCTGGTAGTTGTGAAGATGTTGTTGGTGACGACGGCGAAGGTGATGATGAGGAGGAGGATCATGTGATAGTGATGAGACTGACGATGGCCATGATGCTGGTACTGCTTATGATGATGATGATGCTGATGATGATGACGGTGACGATGACGATGATGGCGACGGCGATGCTGATGATGATGATGATGAGATGTAGACATATGTGACGATGATTATGACGGCGACGACGATGATGATGATGTTGATGATGTTGATGATGACGATGCTTATGGTGATGCTGCCGCTGATGATGATTCCAATGGTACGGATGATGATGCTGATGATGACGATGATGATTATTATGATGATGATGATGCGGCTATATGATGATCATGCTGGTGATGATGGTGATGCTAATAATACTGATGATGGTGATGCGCTTCTGATGATGATTGTGGGGTTGATGCTGATTCAGATGATGATGATGCTGATGATGACGATGATGACGATGATGATGATGGTGATGATGATGATGATGAGGATGTTGCTGCTGATGATGATGGTGATGCTGATTGTTATTACGATGTTGGCGATGATGATGTGGGTGATGGGGATGATGATAACGATGATTATGCTGATGATGATGCCGATGATGATGCTGATGCTGAGGATGCAGATTCTGATGATGATGCTGATGATGATGATGATGATGGTGCTGATGATGCTGATGATGATGCTGTTGTTGATGATACTGACGATGATGACGATACTGATGACCATGATAATGATTATGCTGATTATTTCTGCTGGTGATGATGATCATGACGACGACGACGGGTACCATGACGACGATGACGACGCCGGCGACGATGATGCTGATTAGGATGATGACGATGATGCCGATCACGATTATGACGATGGTGGTGATGAGGGTGATGGTGATGGTGGTGGTGGTTATGATGGTGATGCCGATGATGATGATGATGATGATGATGATGATGATGATGATGATGATGATGATGGTAGTGGTGGTGGTAGTGGTGGTGATTATGGTGACGATACTGATGATGCTGATGATGCTGATTCTGATGATGACGATGATGATCTTTGTGTTGATGATGCTGATGCTGCTGACGATGTTGATGATGCTGCTGCTGATGCTGAGGAGGATGTTGCTGCTCAGGAGGAGAAGGTCGAGGATGAGGATGAAGAGGGGATGCTGAGATTGCGGACGAGGAGGATAATGGTAGTGCAGATTTTTGATCATGATCATTGAGTTTGTGGTGATGATGAGGGTCTTGATTCTGATGCTGACGATGCTGACGATGCTGCTGCTGCTGCTGATGATGATGATTATTCTGCTGATGATGACAAAGATATTGGTGATGAGGATGCTGATGATACTGATAGTTATGATGATGATGCTGATGCTGATGCTGATGATGATGATGATGATGATGCTGATTATGATGATGCTGATGATGCTGATGATATTGCTGATGATGATGCTGATGATGATGATGATTATGATGATGATGGTGGTTGTGGGGGTGGTGGTGATGATGGTGATGGTGATGGTGATGGTGATGGTGATGGTGATGGTGATGGTGATGGTGATGGTGATGGTGATGATGATGATGATGATGATGATGATGATGATGATGATCTGATGCTGATGCTGATGCTGATGCTGATGCTGATGCTGATGCTGATGCTGATGCTGATGCTGCTGATGATGATGATGATGATGATGATGATGCTGATGATGATGATGATGATGGATGATGATGATGATGATGATGATTGATGATGGTGGTGGGAGGGGAGGAGGAGGAGGAGAGGTGGAGGAGGTGGAAGAGGAGGAGGAGGATGAGGAGGAGGATGATGAGGAGGAGGAGGAGGAGGAGGAGGAGAAGGAGAAGGAGGTGGAGGTGGAAGAGGAGGAGATGAGGAGGATGAGGGGAGGAGGAGGAGGAGGAGGAGGAGGAGGAGGAGGAGGGCAGGAGGAGGAGGAGGAGGAGGAGGGAGAATTCGGAGGGGGCGGAGGAGCTGGAGCAGATCGGAGGGGAGGGAGGTGGGAGGTGGTGGAGGAGAAAAGTGGAAGCGTACCAGGGGATGAACAGGAGTTGCAGGAGGAGGAGGGGAGGAGGAGGGGAGAGGAGGGGGAGGAGAGGAGAGGAGGAGGAGGAGGAGTAGGAGGAGGAGGAGGGAGGAGGGAGGAGGGGAGGACCAGAAGGAGGAGGAGGCGGAGGAGGAGGATGAGGAGAGGATGAGGAGGATGGGGGAGGATGGGGGAGGAGGAGGAGGAGGAGGAGGAGGAGGAGGAGGAGGAGGAGGGAGAGGAGGAGGAGGAGGAGGAGGAAATAAGGAGATGAGGAGGACGAGAGGGATCAGGAAGCGGTATCTCCTCCCTCCTCCCTCCCCCCCCCCCCTGCCTCCCCCTCCTACTCCCTCGCCCTCCCCGCCCTCCTCCCCCATCTCCTACCCCCTCGTCCTCCGCTCGAAGGATCTGCAAGATCAAGAGCCAGCGCTCGGACGACGAGGAGGACTCACCGCCCTGAAGATGGCAGTGCGGAACATGTTCGAACTTACGTACGGTGGGCTCGTGCCGTGTTGACGCGGCGGCGACCCCGCCGCGGGTGCTCACGGTTGAACGCCGCCAGTGTGTCCGAATCGTCCAACATGGAACGATGCGGCGTGCGAAGTGTCGCCGATGATCCAAGCGGTGTCAAAAGCCGACGCCGGGGTCGCCTCGACAGCAGCTTGCCGCATGCGCCCACCGCTTGCCCGGAAACGCTTCGCGGGTTGCACCTGTTTTCTGGGCGACTCGCTCGCGCAAGTTGTTTCGGGCGAAGCAGCGCTTTCCCTCTTTATTCTCCAGTGGTGCTTGCTGATAGGACTGCAAGCTCAGTGCATGCGTAGAGCTGGTCCACTGGCCCTCCAGTTTGCCCTTGCACTGTCAACCTATCCCGATGGCTTCCCTTGTTCCCTTGCACGGTCAGACTATCCCAATGGCTTCCTTTGTATCTGCATGTGTTCCCCTGTTGTTCTCATGGCTTGATCTGTATCCGCATGTCTTTCTCTGTCTCCGCATGGCTTCCTCTGCTACCCGCATGGCTTCCTCTTCTATCCGCATATATTCCTCTGTACCCCCGTGATTTCCCTCTTCGATTACACTCGCTTCCTGTGGCTATCCCAACGTCGTCCCAAAACTCGTTTAACACTCGTTGAACTCAGACGCATAGTAGAGTGTAGTAGAGGTAGAACAGAGTAAAGCATACTAGAGTAGAGTAGAGTCGATTCGAGCAGAGTAGAGTCGAGTAGATGGGTGTAGCGCATCGCAGACTAGGTGTACATCCGAGTAGAGTATGATCAAACCAAGTGTAATCGAGTATTGACGAGAATGGACGAGTATCTTGGAGTAAGTTGGGGTAGTGTAGGGTAAGGTAGGCTCGAGTATGAGAAGGTTGAGAGTGGAGTCGAGTAGGGTATATGGTAGAGTATCTTTGGGTCGAATACAGTAGAGTAGACCAGCGTACAGTAGGTACGATCCGAGATGAGCAGCCGCGTATGATAGATACGACCTGTGTACGTAGCGTAGAGCATATTATACTAGTTTTGAATTTAATCGAATGGACGATGTCACAGTAGAGTCGAGTAGAGCAGAGTCGAGTAGAGTAGGCGTATCGTAGAGTATATTGGGTGTATCGTAGAGTAGTGTAGAGTTTTTTCATACAGAGAGCAGGGCAGAGTAGAGTAGAGTAGAGTAGAGTAGGGTATATTCGTGGAGTCTAGTAGAGTAGATGAAGGTATATTATAATAGAGTCGAGTATGAAATTTGTAGAGCAGGGTAGAGTAGGAGTAGAGTATATCAGCGTGGAGTAGTGTATCGAAGACGCCTCCGGCGAAACACCGCCGCCCCCTGCCTTGGGAATCGCCCATGTGGCCGAGCGTTGTGACAAGAGCTCTTCCAAGCTATCGGGCCATGTGTTCCCCCAGCCGTTGTAGAAACCCTTCGGGGAACACTTGGGGGAGGATGGCGGGGAAGATAAGGAGGAGGATGAGGAGGAGGGGGCATCTTGGGAGCCTCTGGAGGCACTCTTGGGGCCTCCTGGGAGCTTCCTGGGAGCCTCTTGGAGCCATCTTGGGGGCCTCCTTGGGCCTCTTGCGGGCCTATGGGGGCTTCTCGGGGGCTTCTTTGGCTGTCTTGGGACATTCCTGGCCCGTCTGACGCCGCCAGAAGCCGTCCTGTGGGCCTCTCTGGGCCGACTTGGGGCTCTCTTGGGTAGCTCCAAAACAGCAGGTCTCTTGGGCCGTCTTGGCGCCCATTTCGGGCCGTCTTGGGGGCCTCTTGGGCCGTTCTGGGGCCATCTTGGAGGTCTTTTGGGCGATCTTGGGGCGATCTTTGGGGGCTCTTGGCCCGTCTGGGGCCGTCTCAAAGCCGAACAATGCAAATGCCAAAGTCCTTCAAAAGTCTCAGGAACATAAATGATTTGGGCCTCTTCGGGCCTTCCTGGAGGCCCTCTTGGGGGCCTTTTGGGCCGTCTTGGAGACCTCTTGGGGGCCTCTTGGGCCGTCTTGGGCCATCTTGAAGCCATCTTGGGCCGTCTTGGTGGCCTCCTGGCCCGTCTGACACAGTCGGAAGCCGTCTTGAGGGCCTCTCTGGGCCGTCTTGGGGCCCTCTTGGGGTGCTCCAGGGCCGTCTCGGGGCCCTATTGGGGCAGTCTTGGGGGCCTCTGGGGCCGTTCTGGGGCCATCTTGGAGGCCTCTTGAGAGATCTTGGGGCGATCTTTGGGGCCTCCTGGGCCGTCTCGGTTTGTTGTAAGACCGAAAAGTAGCAACTGTCCAAACCCTTCAAACACCTAGGAACATCAATGATTTTGGCCTCTTCGGGCCTTCCTGGAGGACCTCTTGGAGGCCTCTTGGGCTGTCTTGGAGGCCTCTTGGGGGCCTCCTGGGCCATCTTGGGCCATCTTGATTGAGGCCATCTTGGCCCGTCCTGGAGGCTTCTTGGGCCCACTTGGGCCGTCTTGGAGGCCGTCTTGGACCATCTTGGGCGAACTTGGAGGCCATCTTGGGCCATCTTGGCCCTCTTGGAGGCCATCTTGGACCGTCTTCGGGGATTTTTTCCAGACGTTGAGGTCGTTTCCAGACGTTGAGGTCGTTTCCGGTCCTTCCGCGGCCAGCGCGCTGGGCCGAAGCCCCAGGGAGAGTTCTTTTGGAAAAGAAGCCATACCAAAGACCGTAGGATCTAGCACGCCAGACACCCTTGTGGCGAGCCAACAGGGGGCGGCGGATCTAATCGAAGACGCCTACGGCGAATCACCGCCGCCCCCTGCCTTTTTGGAAACGCCGATGTGGCCGAAAGTTGGACTAGAGCTTGGCCAAGCTATCGGACCATGAGTTCCCCGAGTCGGTTTGGAAAGCTTTCGGGGAACACATGGGAGAGAATGATTATGAACAGGAAGAGGAAGAGGAAGAAATAGAGTAGGAGGATGAGGGTTGTTAGGAGTCTCTTGGGGCACCCTTGGGGTCTGTTGGGGGCTTCTTGGGGGCCTCTTCGAGGCCTCTTGGAGGCATCTTGGGGGCCTCCTTGGGCCTCTTGGGGGCCTTTGGGGGCTTCCTGGGGGTCTCTTTGGCCGTCTTAGGGCGTTCCTGGTCCGTCTGACGCCGTCTGGAGCCGTCTTGGGGGCCTCTCTGGGCCGTCTTGGGGCCCTCTTGGGGCGCTTCAGGGCCGTCTTGGAGGCCATGTTGGGCGTCTTGGAGGCCTCTTGGGCCGTCTTGGGGCGCTCTTGGGGCCGTCTTGGGGGGCCCTTGGGCCGTCATAGGGCCTTCTTGGAGGCCTCTTGGGCGATCTTGGGGGCCTCTTGGGCCGTCGGAAGGCCGAAAAGAAGAAAACGCAAAAAACCTTCAAAAACCTAAGGAAAACCAATGATTTTGGCCTCTTCGGGCTCTCCTGGAGAACGTCTTGGAGGCCTCTTGGGCCATCTTGGAGGCATCTTGGGGCCATCTTGGCCGTCTTGGAGGGCATCTTGGGCCGTCTTGGAGGCATCTTGGAGCCATCTTACCCGTCTTGGAGGCCATCTTGGCCGTCTTGGAGGCATCTTGGAGGCCATCTTGGGCCATCTTGGCCGTCTTGGAGGCCATCTTGGGCCAAGTTGGGGCAACAAAGGCATTGACAGACGCATTTTGGGAAATTTACGGGTGGCCGGCGGGACGGGCCGAAGCCCACTGGGGAGTTCTTTTAGAAAAAGAACCAAAACCAAAACTGAATCATTCAGCACGCCGTGCACCCCTGTGGCAAGACCACAGGGGGCGGCGGATCTAATGGCCTTCGGCCCATCCCGCCACCGTGCCTGGGTTGTGGGCCAGAGTTTTCAGGGATGCTTCTTGGGGTCTCTTCGGGGCGCTCTCGGGGGCCTCCTGGGAGAAGTTTTGGACCCTCTCGGGAGCCTCTTGGGGGCCGCTTGAGAGCCTCTTGGGGGCTTCTTGGGGCTTCCTGGGGGCCTCTTGCGAGCCTCTGGGGGCCTCCTGGGGGTCTCTGGGTGCCTCTTTGGGGCCTCTTGGGGGCCTCTTGGGGCCTCCTGGAAGCCCCTCGGGGCCGACGGCTCGAAATGTAGGTTCGGGTTCTCCATCTGGGCCTCCTCTTTTGGCCGTCTTTGGGCCCTCGTGGGCCGTCTTGGCCGCCTCTGGGGCCTTCTTGGGGCCCTCTTGGGCCGTCTTGGGGCCCTCTTGGGAGCCTCTGTGGCCGTCTTTGGGCGGTCTTGGGAGCCTCGTGGGCCGTCTTGGAGCTTCGGAAACCGAAAAGGCGAGAAGGCCAAAAACTTTCGAAAACCTAAGGCACATCACGGACTTTTGCCTTTTGGGGCCCCCTTGGGACGCCTCTTGGAACCATCTTGTGCCGTTTTCGGGGCCTCTTGGGCCGTGTTGAGGCCATCTTGGGCGTCTTGGGGCACTCTTGGGCCTTCTCGGAGGCATATTCGGCCATTTAGGGCGCTTGTTGGGCCCATGCTTGGCCGGCTGCGCTACTGGAGGACGCGCGCGACCAGCCCAGTGAATCCCAGGGACTCCTTGGAAATCTACAGAAATCCCTGGAAATCCTTGTGAGACCAGTGACCTGGGCCTTTGAAACCTTTGCAAACCCTACAGCTCTGAGCTTCTCAGGGCTGCATGAGGTGTTGCAGACACGGTGGCGGACATGTGAGTAGAGTAAAATCGGTTAGGGTGGAGTAGGGGAGGGTGTTGTATTGTACAGCAGAGTAGAGTAGAATATCTAATAGACCGCTGGTAGAGAAGAGCCGGGTATAGTAGGGTAGAGTAGAGTAGAGTGGAGTAAGGCCCACACCAGTCTATTCCAGCCTGCTCTAGTCCAGCCTACTTCAGTCCATTCCAGGCCAGTTCATTTCAGGCTTCTGATCTATTTACCCTCAGGAGGGAAAGAAACACACAGACACAATTAATCGCCGACTCCCAGGAAAATATGGGAACATGTGCGATGTAGGGGGGAAGACAAAAACCCAGAACATATGGGACACTATGGGGAATTCTGTTACTTGTGTGT